GGCATCTATGGGAGCATAGAGCATAACGAATGCAAGGAAATTCTACTATCGCTCTTCTCTGCGATTCTCATATACCTTCTACTTCTATTAAAAATATTATTTATATTATGATTTCTCTTCTTAATATCACTCTCTATAAAGACCATTTTCTATAGGAATCGATGAGAGCGAAGTTAGCTTCAGTTCAATGCCAAACTTAGAGATACCCTAACTATGGCATCTATGGGAGCATAGAGCATAACGAATGCAAGGAAATTCTACTATCGCTCTTCTCTGCGATTCTCATATACCTTCTACTTCTCTTAAATATATTATTTATATTATGATTTCTCTTCTTAATATCACTCTCTATAAAGATCATTCCATCTCTCTCTCTCACTCTCTCTCTATCTCTTCTCTTTTCCTCTCCAGTTCTCTCAGACTTTTTCGTTTTGTTTCCTCCCACTCATCCTTCATTCAACCTCCTCTGTTGTCTATCTCTTCTCTGATTTCTCTCGCCTAAGATCTACGAACTCTCCCTCGCTCCCTCTCCCTCTTTCACTCACACTCTTCGTTTCGATGATCAGCTCGAAGGCGGACTTTTCACGCCGCAAACTGGTCAAATAGGATTGCTCCTCGACGGTGCGCGCATGGATCAGGAAGTAGATCTTCATGCGGTCGTCGGGCGGCAGGCGACGACGCGCCTCGAAGACCTCCAGCTGCCGTATGGCCGTCACATTCGTGTTGTACATGATCACGTAGTGCGGCTGCAGTTGCTCCAGCATGTGCTCCAGGGCCATGGAGCCCTCGCGCTCCGTCTTGAAGGTCTGCAGGCAAATGCAGGGCTGTCGATGGGCGGCCAGTGCCGCCGACACGTCGAACTGCTCCAGTTCGGGTATGATCTCGAAGATCGAGGCATTCGGATCGGGATCGCTGGGCGCGGCCTGGGTCATGGTGAGCATGTAGCTCTCCTCGAACAGCTGCTGCTGCAGCTGCGCCTCCGCATCCGTCTCGCTCAGCAGCTGAGAGAGCTCGTCGAGCGCCGGCGGAGCTGCCGCCGGAGGAGCAGCAGCCGCAGTGTTCGGCTCCAGCTTGACGCCGTCCGCCTTGGCTGCCGGCTCTGCCATGGCGGCGCCCTGACTCTGCTTGGCAAACTCGTCGCTCAGCTTGCCAACGAGCACCTCGTGCCGCAGCGCCTGCTGCAGCAGGTAGCGAGCGCTGCCCTGGGTCAGGTACTGCTTCAGCTGGTAGCAGGCGCGCGCGTCCTGGCAGAGTATCAGCACCTTGGGCGGGTCCAGGTGGCCGGCGCCTCGCCGCCGACTCATGTCGCCGGGTATGTCCTGCGTGAGCAGCTCGCTCAGCGCCTGCCACTTGGGGCACGGCTCCGGCTCAAATTCTGTGCGGGAGCGAGAGGGAGTTTGAGCTGGCGTGCCACGATTTATGGATAGAGAACTCACCATTTTGGCCATTGTAGACGCGCTGCTTGGAGAGCACGAATATCTGCTCGGCGGCATCCATGAGCGTCCAGCCCGAGTTGCTAATGGCGTACTCTGTGCTGCGGTAGCGTTTGATCAGGGCGTACGAGCTGACGGCATCGTGGTACATCGTGGATCTGGGTAGATAAAACCGTATTAGGTCTGTGTGAATGAAGGGGATTGATGGACTGACTGGATTGATTGACACTTTGATTGAGACTAACATGGACTGACTGAGTACGGGATGATGGACTGACTGGATTGATTGACTGAGAGACTATGTGAATGATTGACGGACTGATAGGTGATTGACTATGATGTACCAGCTGATTACTTGATTAACTATGTCTGATTGATTGACATTGAGTGACTGTCTAATTGATTGACTGACTGAATGACATATTGATGATTGAGACTAACTAAACGATTGACTGATGAATGATTGACTGACAAGTACTAGCTTATTAATTGATTGACTATGTTTGATTGATTGACATTGAGTGACTGATTGTTCACAAAGTCTAATTGATTGACTGACTGAATGACAAATTGATGATTGAGACTAATTAATTGATTGACTGACTGATGAATGATTGACTATGATGTACCAGCTGATTATTTGATTGACTATGTCTGATTGATTGACATTGAGTGACTGTCTAATTGATTGACTGACTGAATGACATATTGATGATTGAGACTAACTAAACGATTGACTGATGAATGATTGACTGACAAGTACTAGCTTATTAATTGATTGACTATGTTTGATTGATTGACATTGAGTGACTGATTGTTCACAAAGTCTAATTGATTGACTGACTGAATGACAAATTGATGATTGAGACTAATTAATTGATTGACTGACTGATGAATGATTGACTATGATGTACCAGCTGACGATTCGATTGATTATATCTGGTTGATTGACATTGACTGACTGTTAACAAAGTCTAATTGATTGACTGACTGAATGACAAATTGATGATTGATTGATTAACTAATTGATTGACTGACTGATTAATGATTGACTATGATGTAGCAGCAAATTATTTGATTGACTATGTCTGATTGATTGACATTGACTGACTGATTGTTCACAAAGACTAATTGATTGACTGACTGAATGACAAATTGATTGATTGAGACTAATTGATTGACTGACTGATGAGAAATTGACTAAGATGTATCAGCTGATTATTTGATTGACTATGTCTGATTGATTGACATTGAGTCACTGTCTAATTGATTGACTGACTGAATGACAATTGATGATTGAGACTAATTAATTGATTGACTGACTGTTGAATGATTGACTATGATGTACCAGCTGATGATTTGATTGATTATATCTGGTTGATTGACATAGACTGACTGATTGTACATAAAGTCTAATTGATTGACTGACTGAATGACAAATTGATGATTGATTGATTAGCTAATTGATTGACTGACTGATTAATGATTGACTAAGATGTACCAGCTGATTATTTGATTGACTATGTCTGATTGATTGACATTGACTGACTGATTGTTCACAAAGTCTAATTGATTGACTGACTGAATGACATATTGATGATTGAGACTAACTAAACGATTGACTGATGAATGATTGACTGACAAGTACTAGCCTATTAATTGATTGACTATGTTTGATTGATTGGCATTGACTGATTGATTGATTGACCAAATGACTAGCTGATGAATAACGTACTGATTGACTGAGATGTACTGGATGATTAAGTGATTGACTAAGTCTGATTGATTGACATGGGCCAACTGATTGATAACTAAGTCTGATTGATAGCTAACTGACTGATTAAGTAATCACACTCAAGCTGATTGATTGACTGTATGATTGATACAAAATCTAACGATTGAATGGTGGATTGCTTGACTGAGGGACTTTATCTGATTAAATTAAACATCAACATAGGGCTATCTAGTTGATTGACCGGCAAATTGATTGATTAATTAACTGAATGATTGATTGAGTAACTCTGATTGACTGATAGGCTAGTTGATTCACAGGGTAGCGGATTGATGTAGAGAGACTGGTTCATTGATTAACTGGCAAATTGATTGATAGGTGGACTCCCTTCCATTGCTATTCGATTTCTGCCTGAATATAATACATAGTCTATCTCTTTCTATCACTCACATCATAAGACTGCGCAGTATTTTGAGATCGGCCACGATGAGTTTTGTTTGCGAGTTGAGCTGATGCCAAATGCAGTCCAATTGGGCTTGCAGAATCTTGTGGAACTTCTTGGTGACACAATTCTCCACGGTGACCGCTTCCATGTCGACGGTGCGATTGATGCGCTTGATTTCGCGCACCAGGAAGTTCATAATGTCCAGTATGTGGGTCTGGATGGAGCTCACCCGCTCGCTGAGCGGCACGTGCAGCTCGATGGTCTGCGCCTGCCACGGATGCAGTGCGGCACGCACCGTGGCATGGAATCGCGGCCAGATGTACAGTTGCTTCACGAACAGATTGCGCATGGTGCGCTCGATGTGGGAGTAGCCAATGGTGAAGGCCTCCGGGCTGCTCGAGAAGGCCTTGATGAAGCCGGTCTTGTTGCGCTGGCGATAGAGTCGCAGGGCGAACGCCTCCTGGCAGCTCTCGATGATGCTGTGGGCGCGCAGCACGATGATGCCCGTGATCAGCTCAATGGGTATGCGCTGCTTGAGCAGATCAACCACCAGGATTCGCGTGGATATGAACTGAATGCCGCCCTCCAGGTAGACGCGTTCGCTGCGGTAGAGAGGGACGTATTAGCAGCAATTGGGGATAAAGCAGCGCCACTCACCGCTCGGTAGCCGTATTGGCCACCTCGTGCACATATTTGGCATCCAGCTTGGACTTGTAGTACTGCTCCTCCCAGTCGGAGCTGTTGATCACCAGCAGCAGATTGCCCGCGTCGCTGTAGACCTTCAGGATGTGCAGCAGCACGCGCTCATAGCTCAGACCTCTGCAGAATAGAGTTCGGATTAGCTGCGATTAGATGCAGTAAAGCAGACAGCTTACTTGGCTGCCACGAGCAGGCCGTCGGCGTGCACCAGGTCGAGAAACATTTGCTTTTCATACTCCAGCAGCTGGACATCTTTGCGCATCAGATATTCCTCGGCCGTGACCAGATTGGCCAGTTCCTCGTCCTCCAGGGTCTCGTTGGACTCGGGCAACGGAGCGGCCGCTGGCTGTTCATCTGTTTCGCTTGTCTGAGCTTCGGTTGCGTCCGACATGGCGCAATAATTTCACAAATAAACAAAACAAAAACAGCCGGCATTTACCTATCGATAGCACTCATTTGCACGCGGCGAAAAAGATATCGATACGCGTAATTTTAGTGGCCCACACACGTTATATTTCGCTTGGCAAAGTCTTATGGTTTAAATAATGTGTCTTATTTTTTGGTTTTTAGCTGTTTTAAATGTAAATTAGCAATAATGCAGCTACCCCCAACAAAAAATTAAGTCATCGCAATTATTTGATTATTTTTAATTCAATTTGTTGATAAACTTCATCGATACACGAACTATGATTTATATTGGAACATCGATATTTATATAGTCAGTTGGCCGGGTAAGCACGTGTGCCTTGCGTTCAAAGCGATTCAGATTTGTCAGATTTGGCAGATTTGTGCAAATTGAAGACAAGTCACGACGTACAATAAATCTTCATGAAATTTTTCTAAATAAAAATTTCCTGAAAATGGACAAGATATCAGCGTACGCCGCTTACGTCCAGGGGTCAAAGAAACCGTCGAAACGTTCACAGAAGCTAGCGAAACTTTTGTCAAAGGGGTCAAAGAAGACTACAAAGGGAACAGAAGGTAAGGGGGAAATGGACGAGGCAGCTCTAAGGGCAGCTGAAAAAGCGGCTGCAAAACAAACGAAGAAAATAAGGAAGGCCGTGGAAAAGAGAGTCGCAAAGAGAGCAGCAGAGAAAGCCGAAAAGGAAGCAGCAGAGGCCGCCGCAAAGGCAGAGAAGAATATTGTTGAAAATGAGAAGCCGCCAGAGAGCGTGAAAGAGCAGCCAGAAAATGCAGATGCAAATAACGGAGAGTCGAACAAACTGTCAAACGGCAATCAGCTCCAGAAGTCGAAGGCCGCCATAAAGAGCAATTTTGACAGTTATTTGATGGATTTCCAGAGCTTCTGCGATTTCACCTCCACTGGGAGCAGCTTCATGTGCGAGAGTGGCGGCTGCACCAATAGCGACGATAAAGACGCTACAACTGGCCACGATGAGAGCAAGAGTGACGAATCGGATTCTGGCAGCGATAGCTATTCGAATGATTTTGACGTCAGCTTTGACAGCGACGCCACTGACAGTAGCAGCGACAACGGTGACGACTATCTTGATTTGAGCTTCAGCAGTGAAGAGGATAATGGCGATAGCCAGAGCGAAAGCGACTATAACGGTAACTGTTTCCATAACAGCAATGCTTGCTCGCATAACGGTGCTAATCACAGCAACGATCAATTCAGTGAGGAATACACGCTGAACAGCACTGCCATCAGCACCACCAGCACCACCAGCGCCAGCGCCAGCGCCAGCGCCAGCAGCAGCAGCGCCGAGCCACGCACAGCAGCCAAGCGCAACGTGCCTATCGACATGAACAACAATAAAAATAAGCCGACAGCAGCCAAGCAGCAGAAGATGTCACAGAAGCAGGAGCAAGCTCCGGTGGGTAAGCAGCGCGCCAATCCGGCGCCATCGTGCCCCCTGCCGCCGCGTCCTGTCAAGACGATGATCAAGTCGTGTCCGCTGCCACCCAAGGCGCCGGCTGCCAAGCCCGTGCCGAGCAAGTGCCGTCTGAGCAGCCGCGAATCAACCGGAAAGAAAACCCCAGCCAAATCGTGCCGCCTCTCCAGTGCTCCGGCCGACAAGATGGCCAACAAAATGGCGGCTCCGTCGCGCAAATCAACCAGCAAGAACAACAACAACAACAACAACGAAATCAACAACAACAACAAGGAAAACGGTCTCAACTCGCACGCTTCACTGGTGACCGGCACTGAGACGCAACGTGGTCCGGTGCATTTGGCGAGCAGCATCGAGGAGGGCAAGCGCATGCTCAACTGGCTGCTGAATCCGATAACCGCGGAGAGCTTCTTCGATCAGTACTGGGAGCGCAATGCATGCCAAGTGAAGCGCAAGCTGCCGGACTACTACAGCCAGCTGATCTCGTTCCAGATGATCGACGAGATGCTAATCGAGAACCAGCTGGAGTTCACCACCAACATTGATGTGACCACCTATAAGAAGGGCGTGCGCCAGACCCTGAATCCCGTCGGACGCGCCATGTCCCCGGCCATTTGGGGCTACTACGGCGACGGCTGCAGCATCCGCATCCTGAACCCGAGCACCTATCTGCCCAAGCTGCGTCAGCTGTGCAGCTCATTGCAGGAGTTCTTCCACTGCCTGGTCGGGGCGAACGTCTATCTGACACCGCCGAACAGCCAGGGATTCGCACCACACTACGACGACATCGAGGCCTTCGTGGTCCAGGTGGAGGGCCGCAAGCGCTGGCGCCTGTACGCCCCGCCGCAGCAGTCGGACGTGCTGGCACGCACCTCATCGCGCAACTACAAGCAGGAGGAGCTGGGCAAGCCGCTCTTCGACGCCTTCCTCGAGGCGGGCGACATCCTCTACTTCCCTCGCGGCACCGTACACCAGGCCGTCACCGACCCGAAGCAGCACTCGCTCCACATCACACTCAGCGTCTACCAGCAGCAGGCGTACGCCAATCTGCTGGAGGCGCTGATGCCCTCAGTCCTGGAGCGCGCCATCAAGCACCATCTGACATTGCGCCGCGGCCTGCCGCTTGACATCTGGCAGCACGTCGGGCTGGCCAAGGGCGGCAAGCAGAGCGAGCAGCGCGACCAGGTCCTGACTAGCACCAAGCAACTGGTCCAGCGCTATCTGATGCCCACCGACGCCCAGATCGACGCTGCCGTCGATCAGCTGGCCAAGCGCTTCCAGCACGAGGCGCTGCCGCCCTCCATCAAGCCGGAGGAGGAGGTGCGCACCGTCTTTGGCTCGCGCAGCGTCACCGATAGCCACGGACAGTGCCTCTGCGACTACGAGCTGACCGAGAACACAAAGGTCCGGCTGCTGCGCGCCAACATCCTGCGCCTGGTGGCCGAGGGCTCCAGTCTGCGCGTCTACTACTACGTGGACAACGCTCTCGAGTACTGCAAGAACGATCCCAACTACATGGAGATCCAGCCCACAGAGGCGCCCGCCGTCGAGGCCCTGATCACCACATATCCCAAGTACTTGAAGATCGGCAAGCTGCCCCTGCGCAGCGCTGACCGCCGCATCGAGGTGGCCACGGCGCTCTGGGAGCGCGGACTGCTCATGACCGAGAAGCCCTTCAAGTAGAACCCATTACACATATACATGAACATGTCTCCAACATGGACTATGATAACATACCCAGGGCTGCAGCAAGCTCATCCCACACCAAGTCTACCATGCGCTGTGATTCGCCGCACACTAAATCATACTCTAGAATTATAACTGTAACAACTAACCATACACAATCATACACCATCGCACACTCTGTACTCACCTGATCTGATATACACCCCAAGTGCACTACCTTGCTATAAATGATTAATATAATTGTATTGTACACCTTAACTTCAAGATATCCTGTAATTCACACTAAATCATACTCTTGAATTATAACTGTAACCACTAACCATACACAATCATACACCATCGCACACTCTGTACTCACCTGATCTGATATACACCCCAAGTGCACTACCTTGCTATAAATGATTAATATAATTGTATTGTACACCTTAACTTCAAGATATCCTGTAATTCACACATGTTTTTTATCAAATTGTCATGTACTTTTGATCGTTAGCTATAATTCCATCTGCAAATCAAAATGTCTTCTAATGAAATGTGTCCTACGCGAGCGAAAAATAAAGTATTTTTATAAAAGAAAAATGTTTTCGATATAATAGATCTCTTGGGCACACATTTATAAGTTTCACGCTAATGGACAACTATTAGATACAAAGAGCTAATCTTACAACTCATATTCAGACGGTATAAGACTAGCTCCAAATGGAATTATGAGAACTACGATTCAAGCAGTAAAAAATTAACAATTGTAAGAAAACGGATTTTAATGCAGTGCATACATATATATATGACATACTGACTACATACATATATACATCTATATATCAATGAAAAGAATGGAAAACTAGAGAAGCCTTTGGAGGAGCAGCATCATTTAGGCGCTGCGAATTCTCTTGCGCTCGCGATATAAGCTCTCCTTTTGTACTAGAAGAGGGAAATAATGACAATTAGCATTACAGCAGGTATGGAGTTGAAATGGTTGTCACTCACTGTACGGATCGAAGCGAATCAGCTCTATTTTGTCTGCGAGCCGCTCACGGAAGAGATTGAACTGATGCCCGCTGACCACGCTCTCCATCAGCACCATGATGCGCCTGTTGATTGACAGAATACTCTATGAATGCTGTTCATAAGTTAGTCCGATGACAGTTAATCACTTACTTGCTCTTGACTTTCTTGAAAAGCACGTCTGTTAGCCTCATTTTTGTTAGAGTTGAGCGAATTTACTTATTTCGGTTAACACCTGAAAATTGTTGTGCAAGCCGACAGCCAAAAAATGTGCTAAAAAACGACACAAACAGCTGATTGCTCGCACATGTTGAGCTATCGATTGTTGTGCTGTTAACCAGTCACACTGGGCGCGCAATTTCAAACGAACAGCCTGCATCTATTTGTTTAATTATATATTAATAATATTACTAATGAGATAAGAGCTCTTACTTACTTTACCCAAATTTGCATCAGAAAGAGCGCCAATACACAATCATGTTTTACGCTTCCACATATTGTTCAACTATCGATTTATGATGTGCTATCTTGCTGTGCCAAAAATTGTATAATAATTTATTTATAATAAATATAAATGTAATGCTCATCTTTTAAATAATAATTATCCTTTCTTTTTAAAGCCCTGCTTAATTTGAATGATTTCATATTTACATATTGGCAAGGCGCTAAAAAGTTACACATACAGCTAAAGCAAATCGCACTAATCGCACACACGTGCCTATCGATTTTACTAGTTCTGTTCAGTACCATCAACGCGCGCAATTCAAAACGTATTTACATTTGTCTTTTGTATTTTTGTTGTGCTTTGTACTTTCTTGCGCTGACACTGACATAGTCTTAACCTTCTGTAAGTATATAAGTCGCGTCCCTGAAGCCAACGCAAAGCAAAGCTTAATCCACTTACATTTCTTTTTTCCTAAAAAGCGTGTATTTAAAGCAATTCAAACAACAGACCGTGTCTGTCCCTGCCCCTGTCCCTGCACAAACTCTTGGCTGTGGCTCACGATCTGGCTGGCTAGACAAGAGTCACATCACACACATCAATAAGCGCATGACTAGACTTCCGCTGCCGACGCGTCGCCGCTACTGCCGCCGCCGCCGCCGCCGCCGCTGCCACCTTCGCTACTCTCTCTCTCTCACACACACACACACTATGTGTATGGGTATGTGGGGTGATTCTTTTCCGTTTCCGTTTTGTTGCGCTGGTCGTTAAATAGCTTAAGCTGATACAAATTAAATTAAATGAATACATAGCAAGGCGCTCATTGTCAGGGTCAAAGGGGAGGACGGACGAGGACACGACGAGCGCACTTCGGTTCGGCAGCACGCACACATAACCTCAAACAATGACGCCAATTGGCACAAAAGCTTAAATGTGTAATCCTGTCGAGTTGACTGTAACGGTAACTGTAACGGTATTGTTGATTCTTGGACCTATTACCATATATATATGTACGTATGTAGGGAGGTAAGGTCAACAGCATCGGCAGCAACAAGAGCTGAGTAAACCAACTTTACGCAACTAGACACGCATACACACATATATAATTTCATATGTATGTGTATGTATTTGTATTGTAGTAAGAATAATCAGTTTGGCAGAAGCAGCAGCAGCAGCAGCAGCTGTAAAGGCGGTAATTTGCCTTTATGCGCTGCTCACGTGCTTTCACACGTTGCTCAACACTAATGTCAAAAAGCACGTGCAGCATCTCGCTCGCACCTGTACCAAAACCCTTACTGCCTTGAATGCAGCCAAGCTTTGGCTAGCGCCAGCTTTAGAAACCAAACAAAAACATGAAACACACATATACATATATATATATACACACACATGTACATGGCGAAGCAAACTCGGCAGCTCTGCACGATGCAGCCCAAAAAAGTAGACTAAGAATATTGAGCTAGCCAGCGTTATTACATTATTATAAAATACGGTATTGTTACAGGATAAACATAAAATACCTACTATTCTTATAGAATATAAGATATATAATACTATATGTTTAATACTTAACGTCATATGTAGCCTTTCTAAGCCCGCTCTATTGTGCTGGACGCGACTGTCCGTAAGCACAACACACTCTCACACACACACAGCAGCTGCTGCTGTGTAGTCGCACTTGTAGAGCTTTTCAAAGCGTATAGGGCTGAAGCTGAAGCCAAAAAGCTCATGCGGCTGACGACAACGTCATCGTGTAAATAAACGCAAGTTCAGTCCATCAACGACACTCGTGCGAGGCGGATGCGAAAGCGCGCGCAACTCTCTCTGCCCAGTGCCATAAACAAAACATTGACAGGAGTAGTAAGAAAAAGTTGCCTCTTTTACAATTCTGAAGTCGAGTCCGAGTCCAACCAACAACAGCAAGAACAACAAATAATATAACAAATACACTAACAAACAGCACGAGCAGCTTCCTAGGCCTTGCTTGCTCTTCTTGTTGTTACAACAAAGAATAAAAAAAAAAAAAACAATAACAGATTTTTTTGTTATTTTTTTTCGCGTGTTGCGTGTAAATAAAAAGCGTAAAGCAACTTTTTCTTGCTATTTCCGAGTGTTGCTATTTTTTTTTTTTGCAATTTTTTCATGTGTTGCAGCAATTACCAAAAAATATAAATAATAAAAAAACAACAACAAAATGCCAAACAAGAAAATATAAACAAGAAATCACAGACAGTATTTACAGCAGCAGTAGCAGCGCAGCAGAAGCCAGCGTCAGCGCCGACAGCGGTAAGCATTCAAAATATTAGTTAAAAGCCAGAAGACAAAAACAAACCAAAAACAAAAAAAAACAAAAAACATTTGCATTGCATAGAATTTTAGCTTATGCGCGCGTTACCTCGCTCTCGCTCTCTCCTCCTATATCTCGCTGCGTCCCTGTGTGGGTGTGTGTGTGAGTCCTGTTAGGTTTGTCCGTTTTATGTTTATGTGTGTGAGTGCGTGTGTGTGAGTGCGGCAATTCATGTTGTTGTTGTTTTTGTTTTTGCAGCGCGCTTTTAGGCGCAACTCGAATGCAGCCAAAAAGCAAAAAAAGAAATAAAACGAAAAAGCAGCACAAAAATAACTAATTAAAATGTCCGCAACTGTCAGTCGCACGCAGCATACCTAACCCTGGACTGCCCCCTTGCCCTTGCCGCTTGCCCCACGCCCTTCGCCCCTGGCCTATGTCTTGCTCTTTCGCTATGCCTCTATTCATGCCCATTGAATTTCGCATCCTCTCGACTGCGTCCTTGGCCATGCGCCCACACGCAATTGCATTTACAGTTACGGACATCACAGCCGCAGTCGCAGTCGCCGTCGCCGTCGCCGTCGCCGTCGTTTGCCGTTGCAGTTCCCATTTTTTTTCGCATTCCTTTTGCACGTTGTTTTTGCCGTTACCTAGAAATTGCAATTTTCCATTATCGCATAGATTCATTTATCTGAGAACTCTACAAATGATACTCTGTAAACTGAAATTAATACCAGGGGTGTATACGACTGCAATAAGTACTCAGCAAATATACTATGTATATCATCTAATGATGACCCTTTGATAACTATCGTCAGGGGCTGCTACAGTCCTAGACAGACATCAGAGCATATTGGGTATGCTCGAGGGTATGCGGAAATTAACTTATCTAATTTACAATTTCCCTTCATAATGACTATTATTCTCAATTTAATTAAATCTAAGAAAATAAAAAAATAAAAAGTAATTTCAAATACTTTTTGGGAGCCCAAAGAATTTTCTTACGTTTCTCACTTCTTAGAATACGGAACAAAAAATTCCCCAAAGCAGAAATAGTTGACTTCAACTTCCTAGTTCCGAGAAGAAATTACCCAAGGGTAATTGTCAAAGGCAAAAGGCGATTTCCGTTCCGCTTAGGGCTTCTCCTTGTAAGCTGTCAAAGGGAACAATCGAGTAGCGGTAAATAAATACAAAATTATAACTAAAATTGAAATTTAAGAGGTCTCTACTAAGAGTATATCGAATTCTTGGCGTAACCATTAGTAATCCTATATTTGTTAGTATTAATCTCACCTAACAAAGCAAATGTTTTTCATTTTTCTAGGGAACACATTTTATGTGAAACGAAAGATGTATCATACACATATACACCTATTCAATAAATATTTGCAATGTCGTTTTTAGTACAGCTCTTTTTCGATATTTCTTAGAGGAGGTTTATAGAATCTGAATAATTCATTATTTTAAGCATCTAGCTCTAAAGCCTTAAAAGATATCGTTCTGTTTTCCGATTTTTTGTTTTCATCTCCAATGGGTGCGCATATGTATATACTAAATATATCTATACGGATGTTATTGACTTGAGTGTATGACGAATTTTGACATAATGACAAATTTTACACAAAGCCAAAAAACTTGTTTTTCACTTCGTCAATTAATATAGAAAAAAAAAATCAAACCCAAAGCACAAGTATAAAATACTTTTTACTACATGTCTGATTTGTCCCTTAAATAGTCGAAAACAATTAACAGTTACTTTCAAACTGTAATCGAGACTGCTTTAACCAGCATATTTACGTGTAACGGTAATATTAGCGCAGTGCCTTTTTATACTACGACTACTTGTTTTTGTTGTTGTAAATTTTTCAATGTACAGTAAGATCAGCAGCATCAGGCTGACTCCCAGCTTCAATTAGCGTAAAAGCAGCGACGCCGACTGGCAGGTGAAGTGCGTTAATGAACAGTGAGGGAGAGGGAGAGGGAGAGAGATAGCGAGAGCGTGTCAGGGAGTAAGTCGGCCGAGCAGAGCAGATACATACATATGTATGTAAGTAAATGAATAAATAAATAATGTAAACAAAATATTAAATTAGAAGAAATTTACTTATGCACGCCGACGCAAACACAATTGAATGGAGCGAAAGGCAGAGCGAGAGCGAGAACGAGAGCGACAGTGTGAGAGAGGTGTGAGAAGGCGGCTGGCTGGCATACAAAGCATATACAAAAGTAAATTGTGCAAAAGCCCATTATAAATAAAGCAAAAACAAAATTTACACACACTCCCTCTCTCGGTCTGGCACGTTCTCTTTGCGCGCTGCTCACTGCTGCATGCCAAAGTTTGAGTAGCACTGGGAAGCATTGCAGCCACTTGTTCCTTTTTTCATATGTTCACAGTTGTAAGGCAATCGCAATTTGCATAGCAGCGAAAGTTGTCGCTTGGCGAGTAAATCCGCTATACCCTATTCAAATCTAATGTAGAGACTATATTACGCACAAAGCTGAAATAATCTTGTGCGTCATTATAATCAATTTTTTGATATAAAAAACAACG